GTCGCCAGCCCAGCCGCGCCGGAGCGGTGCAGTGGAGGTGGCGCGGCCGAGGCAGACGTGCTGTGGAGTGGAGCTGCTCACAGCTAACCCGGGGTAGGTGCCCCTGGGTGCTACCCGGCACTCTCCAGCTCTGGAGTAAGAAAATGCATTTGGAAAGGCTCCAGTATGAAAGTTTTGGGATTACCAAGAAGAGGTGTGAAGGTGTGTACACGCTCAGTGCTTTTACAGCAGCCTGCACAAGATTAAATGGCAAGTTCTATCTGCTGGGAATGGGCTCTGTGTTGAACTTCATGGGCACGGCCGCTCCCCCGGTCCGGCCGCTGGAGGATTGGCGTGTGCGGGTGATGCTGCTGGGAGCTGTCGGGTGATGGATCTGGGCCAGGAGCTGTGCGGAGCACCGTGTCGGTGAAGCACATGTGCCGGGATGCAAACATGTATGCGAAAGAGATCCCGGCTGTCTAAATAATGTGAAATATTGACTAGCTCTCGCAGATGGTGCTCCACGTGCAGCTTCGGGGGCTGAACTTCTGTCTCCTTTTGGTTTTGGTGTGATGTTCCGACCCCATTGAATGTTGGGCTCTTGACAAACTCATTGCCTCATTGCTGAATTTTGGGGTGGTTTGTTGCTCATGGGATCTGAGGGGAAGGGAGGAGGATTGCAGAGAGCTTGACTGGCTCCTTCAGACTCTCCTGGTAGCTTTTAATAGGTTTTTAAATGATGGCACCAACTGGGAAGCTGGTTCTCGCAGAGCGTTGGGGTTTGTAGTATTGCGCGGGTGCCTTCTGGTGGCAGTGTTGCAGAGGAATTGCTGCCTGTAGCCAAGAGCTTGTGTTATTACCACTATTATGGTGATTGTGTTCACTGATGAAATGCTGATGATGATTATTTGCATGAGGACGTTGCTGGGGGCCCGCTCTTGGAGGAGGCCCTGGTGTCCAGGACATAATCCAGACTGCTGGCAGCTGGGCCTTGGGGACACTTCTGCCTTTGTATCAGCTTGTGGGGAGGCAGCAGGTTTTTTCTCTGTTTTGCCTTTGTCAGTGACAAGATGCTGGTTTTGGGTATGTGAAACTGCTTTGTGTGAGCTGCTGCGGAGGATGCTCTCACGCTTTCCTGAAAGCTCGTACCCGGTGCTGGGCAGCTGGAGCAGGGACGGGCTGTGTTGGCAAAGCTGTGCTGGCAAGAAGGTCTTATCGCTGCTTGGGAAGTGTGTTGGGGAGTGCCCTCAACCACAGCTTGCTGTACTTGTGATAAAGCAGCTTATCGGCCAGGTGGTTTGGTTGTTTAGCCTGCAGATTTAAGACTCCGCTCAGAAAGCAGCACGCTCCATTTACAGCCCACTGGCTGCAAGGTTAGAGCCCCACAGAGGTGCAAGGGGCAAGCTGGGAGACCCGCAGTGGGGGGTCAGTACCTGAAGCGGGGGCCCCGAGCTGTGCTCCCCACTGTGAGCTGCGTGCGGGATGCGTTGCCGCACGCGTCCTCGCAGCCGCTGCTCCTGGCGCACGAGGGACCGACAGCCACAACAGTCTGTGCTCCTGTGGAGCTCGTTCCAAGCCTGCGTGCCACTTGGGCTGAAACATGTTTCCCTCTTCTGTTTCCCATTTTCTGCAGGCTTTTCCCATCTGCCTAACGGGCTCTACCCGTCGTACATTCCCCTGAGCCACCTCGAGCCCCCCAGTGCCGGCAGTCCTCTCCTGGCCCAGCTGGGTCAGCACAGCCTCTTCGAGTCACAGAAAGGTGAGCCTGGGTCCCTGCGTGCCCTTCCCCTTGGTCACCCCTGGGTGCTTGCCTTGGGGCTTTCTTGGCTGCTGGAGCTGCTGGATGCTGGGATGTTGAGGGTGAAGAGCAGGAACCCCCTGGGGTTTTCATGCAGGGATGTTTCCTGGTCTTAGAAGTATGACGGTCTTGGATGTGGCTGTGCCGTAGGGAACCCAGCCAGGTCCCTCTTTGAAGCCCCCACATGCTGCTGGGGCTGTCCTGCATCCCACCTGGGCCATGTGGAGGTACCTGCCTGGTCTCCTCTGCCCTGGTCCTTCCTGACCATGTCTGAGACATCCTTGAAACCCATTCCCACCTGGTTTGCCACCTCTCACCTGTCTCTGTTTAGAACTGAAGGGGTTGGAGGCCCATGATAATTTTGTTTGCTTTTGCTCTGCAGATGGGTTCTACCTGTCCAGCCACGCGGGCCAGTCTGCTTTGCACCCACAGCCTCCCCTCTCGAGGACCACGGGCAACCACACGTCGAGCACTTTGCTCCGGGAGAAGGACCTTGGGCAGCTGCACAAGAGCTCAAAAGAAGGCCTGAAAGATCCCGGCGGGAAGGAGCGAGCATGCCGGAGCGATCTGTCTCTGCCCTTTGCCAAGAAGGAGGGTAAGCCGAAGGAGGAGCCCCGGCCCCGCAGCGTGGTAGACCTCACACAGGACACCAAGCCCGACAGCGACCGGAAAGTGAGCGTGGTGGAGAAGGCGGTGAAGGTCGGTGAGCGTCTCTCGCCGTTCCTGGCTGAGCACATGCCAAATCGGGGCGCTGGCGGCGGGGAACCCAAGTCCAAGAACCCGCTGCAGAGCTCTTCTCTCAGCAACTGCAATGGCGGCGGGGACCCCATGCTGAAGGTCCTGGGTGCTGAGCAGGACCGCTGTGCCAAGGATCCCGCTCGGCACGATGAGAACATGAGGCCTTCCGCGCACGCCCACACCGAGCGGCTGAAACGGGGGGAGCCGCTCCCGCTAGCTGCCCGTCCCCGCATCCCTCGCAGCCAGGGAAGATGACGCCAGCCACAACATTCCCTCCGCAGCCCGTCCATTCCAGCATGTACACCATCTTCCCGCCGGCGAAGGAGCTGGGGAGGGAGCACAAAGTCATCGCCCCCACCTTTGTGCCTTCGGTCGAAGCCTATGACGAGCGGAGCGGGCCCATCCAAATCGCCTCGCAGGCCCGTGACAATAAGGTGAAGGACAAGGACCTCGGCAAGGTGGGGGTGCTGCAGTCACCCACGGAGCGGTGCCTCACAGATGCCTCCCGCACGCTCTTGTCCCAGGACTTTTCTTGCCACACCGATGCCAAAAGGATGGAGGCTCTGCGGGAGAAGGGCTCGGTGATCAGGGCAAACTCCATGGCACTGAAGAGACAAGTCACTTCGGAGCCCTTCCTCAACCGGACGGGGCTGGGCTCTCCGGAGAGCAGGGAGTTCCTGGCCTCCAAGGACTTGCTGAAGCCGAGTCCGGAGGCAGAGCATCGCTCCTGTGAGCGGGACCGCTTCCAGCGATCCAGCTCCAAAGAAGCGGCGAAGGTTTACAGCACTTTGGACTCGTCCAGGCAGCACCTGGACCACGGTCAGCTGAAACCGCCTGAGCAGAAGTGGAAGCCCTTTGAGATGGGCAACTTTGCCACCACCCAGATGGCGGTGCTGGCCGCGCAGCACAACCACGTCACCCGGGCGGAAGAGGAAGCCAAGAAGGTCTACCTTGACCCCAGCGGCTTGCCACGGTCCTCAGTGGTGGGCTCGCGGGGCGCCGCAGATGTCCTCCACCCCGCCTCGCATGGTGAAGGGTCAGCCATGCAGAGCCTCATCAAGTACAGCGGCAGCTTTGCCAAGGAGACTGCATCCCGGCAGAGCTGCGGCAAGAAGAGCCCCTTTGGGGGCTTGGGCAACATGAAGTTGGACTCTTCGCAGCTGGGTGCCTCCAAAGTGCAGCAGCTGCTGTCACAGCAGCCAGCAAAGCAGCTGAAGAGGGACCCCGAGAGACCTGAGAGTGCCAAATCCTTTGGCCGCGAGAGCATCGGCTCCCAGGGCGAGGTGGAGGTGAGGCACTTGCCCGTTGGCATTGCCGTGGCCGTGGCCCGGCAGAAGGACAACAGCAGCAGCAGCAAACTGGGGCCCAGCTTGGCAGACCGGGATCGCTCGCTGTCTCTCAGCAGCATCAAAGGTAGGTTCCCCAGATCTGTCTCGGGACTTCCCTCTGGGATCTGTTCACTGGGGAGAGCAGCCACCCAGTGCAGGCTCTGTGACATGAGCTGAGTTTGGCATCCTCAGCTCCCTTTGCCTCCTGTTCCCAGCCAAGGGCACGGTGTAGACCACATTAGGGAGCAGGACACCCCGCGCAAGAGAGAGTCCCCTTTCCCCCATGCCACCTCCTCTGTCCACCTCCGAGGACCACCCTTCACGGGTTTGATCCCCGTTAGTAAAGGAAGTGACAGAGAAACCTCTTAATCCTCCTTTGGGCTGGTGTTTTAGTCTCCTGGTTTTGATTTAAGCCATGGTGCTGGCTCCGGCACGTGTTTTGGTGCTCTGCTTGGCTTGTGTATCATGGTAACACTTCGGGGCTGCCCAGCACCAGGAACGCTCAGCCCTGGCATGCCAAGGAGTGATGCCAAAGTGAGCGGCCGGCGAGCAATGGTTGAGTTTCCATTTTCAGCCTTCTCTTTTCCCATTTTTCTGCCTTCGCCGTGAGAGGCGGTTTCTCCCAGCCGGCAGCCCCTCTCCTTGTTCCCATCGCCTCCCGTTGCCCTCCCCATGGCTGGGCGGGAGCTGGCTGAGGACCTCGTGGGCAGCACAGGGAGCTGTTTGTTCAGCCGTTCAATCGTCCTAGACCCTCCCAGCTTGTGTTAAATGTAATTTACTGAGCTGAACTAAAAGGCTGCAAACAAGGGTTGAATTCTGGCAGGCCTCCGGGCTCGTTGCTAAGTGATGCAGTTGGCTTTCAGACAGAAAACAAGACTGCTTTTCTCCTCCTCTCGCCCCCCAAATGCTGCCCCCCCTTTGTGTGCCAGGAGATATTCGTCTAATAACATTAGCTTGCTTGCGCTGAGTGGACGGTGCTTGAATGTTTAGACCTTTTAAGAAGGAGAAAGCAGGCTTTAGTTGGCTAATCTGTAGTATTTGGCAAGTAAAATGCAAGTATTTAGTACCGGGCATTGGTTGTCAAGGAAACGGGCCTAAGCCTTTCCTCCGTGCATAACTGATTGAATTTTTCTATGCGGTCCGTGCGTCATGTTCATATATATAGACAAAATGATCATTCACTGTCTGGACAATCATCGGTCTGTACAGAAAAGAGACCGTCATGCCGGTGGGGTGGGGGCTAGGCAGGAACTGGATGAAGAAGAAAGTGTGTGTGTGTGTGTTTGGATGGCAGATGAGAAAAAAGATGATAAACCCGACTACAAATAAAGGAGCACAAGTGATGTAGACGAGAGAGGGAGGAGCGGAGGTAAAACAACAAAATAAGTTTCTAAGGAGGGGAGGGAGTCTGTAAGTTAGCCCACGGGTTGCTCCATATTGCTGACACCGAAGAGGCAGTTAGGCATCAATTGGGGAAAATAAGTAGGAAAAGGGGCTCCAAGGGGGGAAAACCTTGGGTTAGGGGGTGGAAGGGGATCTGTGCGTGAGTGGGGATGCTGGTGGAGGGGCAGGGAGGGATGCTGGGGCTCCGGAGGGATTCATGAGCCCTGTGCCTCGTGCCGTGGAGCTGGGCGGTAAACCTGGGCGATGGAGGCTGCGTAGGGCGTCATTCAGCGAGTCCAGGAGGGGCTGGTCGCAGACGGCCACGGCACGCAGTGTCCTGGCAGGCGGCAAGGGAAGTGTGGTGACCCTGGGAAGTCCTTCGGGAGGGGGGGCAGGTGCCAGGTTTTAAAGTTTTGCTTTCTGCCTGAAGCCCATGGAAGGAGCCTTGGGGAGAGGAGGTGGGAGAGATGTTGTCTTGTTCCTGGATTCCTTCTGACAGTAAAGGCTGAGGGAATTGGAGACTTGACAGCAAAAAAACCCACGAGCTGTCCAGGTTTGTGGAAATACACAGTGGAGCCCTCCCTGAAAAGACTGCCTGTCAGCAGAATACACTGGATGTTCCGAGCTGCTTTCCCATGTGCCAAACCTTATCCAGACGGGAGAGCGGGGAACCTGGAAAGGGCTGCCGGGAGCCAGGGTGCAGCCGTGCGAGGCCGAGCTGCGCCGCTGAGCCCTGCGGGGTGCAGAGCATCGGCCGGGCAGGGGATGTGCTGGCAGGGTGCACCAAGAGCTGGGGGGAAGCAAACACCTTCCTCCTGGCCCCATTAGACTGGCTGGCAGCTCGCTGCAAGCAGGGCTGGGATTTGGGAGTGGGTCATATCGCCAAAGCATAACATGAACAGCGGCAACAGGGAATTACCGAAAAAAATGCACATGCAAGAAGAAAGCCAGGGAAAAAAGTGGGGAAAAAACAGCCTATAAGGCAGCTGGGGTGAAGACCTGGGATAAAATAAGGGAAGTATGGCTCAAAGACCTGGTCCTGGCAGGGCCAGCAAGGAGCTGCTGCTTGCTCCTGTGAAAGTGCTTCCTAACCTCCCACAGATGCCGCTGCTACCGTGCCAGGCTGTATTTGTGAGAGCTGTTCTGATTCTGGATGAGTTGTTTCTGGAGCCAAACATCCAGCCTCCGTTTTTGGACTCATGCTCTCATCTGCCATATGTGCCCCTGCCTCGCCAGACCCTTTCTTGTTGCATGGCTCAGGGTGGGATGCAGATCCCCGCTAACAGGTTGAATTACAGAGTGGAGCACGCTGGTTTTGTGAGTCTGTGGTGTTGGTTCTGCCTGTTGCAGAAGGACAGGGCTTCAGAGCATACTCAGTGCTCCCAGACCAGTTTACAAGAGCAGAAGGCGCTTCAGAAGGTGCAGAGGTAAAATGTCCCCACTGTGAGATGTGCTAAGCAGGACTGTGTGGTTTGATGCAGGTATTTAGCCGAGCCTCGTCCCCTTCTGAGATGGAAAATCTGCCACTGTCCTTCAGCAAAAAAGGTCCTGTTGGTCCCGCTGCTCCCAGGCTGGTGGCTGTCCTGTCCTGGGAGACCAAGGAGTGGGTCCCTTGATGGCTTGAAGACACGGACCTCAAACCTCATGCACCTGGGTGCTACCCGGAGCTGCCTTAGTGAGAATGTCTTGATCACATAGACAGCCTTATCCTGTCCTTTAGGGCTTGAACCTGATGCACTCTTGGGGATACTGGCATTTGGGTGTGCTGGCTCCCAGGGTACTGCCTCTCCATGCCCAGAGGAGAGGGGACAGCTTTCCCCAGACTGTTTGTCCTGTCTGATCATGCTGGGTTGTTTCTTAGGGCATGGACGCTCAGAAGATGATTGCGGGGATGAGAGGAGCCGCCACCGGGACAGCCACCTCCTGGCAGGGCGCTTGGAGCGGGATCAGGAGAAGCTGCTCAGGTGAGGGTCGCAGGGGGATGGGATCTCTTGCCGCAGTGTCACGGACCATGCTTGGGGATGGCCTGTCTGGAAGAGGGACAGAGTTGGATCCATGCTGGTGAAGCTGCTGGCACCAGTCTTGCTGGTGTGGAGAGGAGCACTGAGCGGGGTACCATGGGGTTATGGGCAGATGGTGAATCTGCAGCAGAGCAATCCTAACAGACTGCTGCAAATCCATGCCTGCTCCGAAGGGATGGAGAGATGGGATGTTTTATTCTGGATGTGATGTTAACCACCTCTATCACAGCTTTCCTTGAGTGTCTGACCCTGGTTTGCAGACACACTCGTTCTGCAGACTGGTCCATACCCCTGGGCTCTCCAGCCACGGAGTAACCTGCAGCGCTCAGACCCTCTCTCACTCTCTCTCTTGCCTCCCCCATGAGCAGAGAGAGCAAGGAGCTGGCAGATTTTGCCCGGATACACCCCTCCAGCTGCGCCACGAATGGTTTGAACTCCAACCTCATGGTGACGGGAGGCCCAGCCTTGACGGGCTCTGGGCGCTGGTCTGCAGACCCGGCTTCGCACTTGGCAGCCCACCCCTGGCTCCCCAGGACGGGGAGCCCCTCCATGTGGCTGGCTGGCCACCCCTACGGTGAGTGTCCTGGGAGGGAGCGATGTGTCCATGGGTGCTCACACCGATGCAGTCCAGGGAGAGGTGTTGTTAAGTGCCCAGTGAGGCTGCTGTCTGATAACAGGGGAAAGGGGAGGCAATTTTTTGGAGCAGTCAAATGGTAGATGACTTGTCATGTGGGTAGGAGCTGCCTGCATCCTCTGAGGTGTGACTGTGGTGGTTCTTCTTCCAGGACTTGGTCACCCTTCCCTGCACCAGGGCATGACTCCAGGCTTCCCCCCTGCCATGGGGGGAGCTCTCCCTTCCGCCTACCAGTTTGCCAGAGATCCGCAGTCAGGGCAGCTTGTTGTGATCCCCAGCGAGCACTTGCCACACTTCGGTAAGGATGTGAGCACATCCCTGAGCACCATTCTTTGACAGCTATGGAAGAAACAGGCTTTGGAGGGGGCTGGATAGGACCAGCAGCCACAGCTTTAGGGTGGGTGTGAGCTGGCCTCTTGTTAAATGTGTTTCAGAGATGGTTCTGTGTAATCTTCAGCCGCGGCTCCTCATTCCCTGCAGGACCCTGTAGCGTTTGGGTCCTTGGCGAGGAGAGCGTACCTGTGGGCTCAGCCAGGGACAGTCAAACCAAGGGTGCCTAGAGAGCAAAGCAAATCAGATGGCCCCAGGACCCATGGGGTGGTGGGAGTGGGGCTGCTGAGGGGAAGACAGCACCCTCTCCCCTCTGCATTTCTGGTTGCATTTCTGCACAGCCCAGTGGCATCTGCCACACCCTGGGACTGAGGTAGAGACACTTGCCCTGAGCGATCCTGAATCTTCTAGCCATCCCCATCCTCCTGCCTCCCTGACTGCATCTCTGCTCATTCCCCAGCGGAGCTGATGGACCGGGCACCCCCGCTGTGGCCCGCCATGTACCCCCCGACCAGGAGCTCCCTCCAGCATGCTCACCAGCTCCAGCTCCTCTCTCATCAGCAGCTGCTGCGGCAGCATGAGCTATACATCCTGCAGCAGCAAGCAGCCCACGCCATGGAGCTACAGAGGAGTGCCCAGCTCGTGGTATGTTTTCAGGAGCTTCTTGCTTGGATGTGAAATGAGCCTGAAGCTGGGGTGTCTGACGGGGGAAAAGCAGCTGTACCAGTGTTGCAAGTGTGTCTCAAAGGTACGGATGCACCGAGCGATCCTGCCCTGGTTCCTGGGATACGAGGCATTCAGCGCATCCTGCACAGTTGGGGTGGGTTTTGGAGGGGTTTGGTGTAGAGCTGTTGAGCAGTGCTGTCAGGACAGCTGCCCAGCAGCAGCGTGACTTTGATTCCTTCCCTAGGGCTGTCTCTGTTTACTTGAGTGGTTTCATCCCTGGTCACCTCCAAACCAACCTCCTGAGCAGCTCCAAGAAGCAGCTGCAATGTTGGCAGCAGTTGCACTGGGCTCTGGAGCCAGCTTCCATTCACCAAACGATTTTGGAAGTCATGAGCTTTCATTTGGGTGTTTTACACCCATTTAATTTTTATAATGGTCATCTGGTTTTCAGCCTTCATTTTACATAGGCTGAAGGCATAGAAATGGAAATGGTTTGCTTTGGTTGCAAATGAAAGCTAAGACACCCTTCACGTGACTCCCAGAGCTGGGAATTTGTAAAGAAAGCTATCACAGATCACTGTCACCCTTCATCAGATTAGATGTAAAATGGTGTTGCGCTGAGGAGTGTGTGTTTTATTCTAGCCCATGTTTGATAAGACCATGTTTTGGTCTTGTTTGGTGGTAGGTCTGTGCTGCTTTCCAGGAGCAGGTAGAGATGTGATGCTGAGTTTTGCTCTGTTCTTGTCGCAGGAGAGGTTGAAGGCGAACGAGCAGCGTGTGGATATGGAAGAGAAGGTGACGAAACGGAGCCTGGACAGTGCCAAATCAGGCCTTTCCTCCTCTGCCTCGGGACTGGTGCACCGAAAGCCGCCCGTGCTGTCTCCCAGCGCCTCCACGTCCTACAGCAAGGCTGTGAGTCCACCTCCCCTCTCTCCCAGGGCCTCGCCCGTGTCTGTGCTCAAAGCTGAGGTGATCCAAAAGATGGAGGAGCCACCTTCGCAGCCAGCCTACTCCTACCCCGCCACCCCCAGCTCCCATCCTTCCAGCCCGCCCCCCGCCTCTCCACCCCCTGCCCCTGCCATCCCTCCAAAGGAAGAGGCACCCGAGACCGTGGAGAAGAAGGACCTGGAGCTGGAAAAAGAGGCTGCTGGTCCATATCAGGCCTTGTTCCCAGGTAAGAGAGCCCTGCTTTGGCAGAGTCCTGTTGTGGTTGTGCCTGCCTCCCTTTTTATCCTTGGCTCTTTCCTGCTTCCATCCCTTCCCCTAGATAAAACCACATAGCTCCTCTAAAAGGCAGGGGAGAGGCAAGGACCAGGGGTGGTGTGATGGACTGGGATCGATACCTGGGTTGTAGCGGCACCTGGGGCTGTAGGCTGTCTTCTTCCCTTCGGTCGAGCCTGGGTTGGTTCCTCCAGGGCTGAAGTCTCACTGGGAGAAGGATGCAGGAAGCAGATCTCTCTCCAGTTGCAAGAGAGTGCTTCAAAGGTGCAGGAGGGATCTCTGGGGTGCTGCTGCCTCTGGCAGCTTGGCCAGGAGAGAGATGGCCAAAGCAGCCACTGCTTGAGAATGGGAAGAGACAAGAGATGATGGAAGCAAAGGGAACCCATCTCTATGCCTTAGTGAGAGAGAAGGTGCTTTGGAGACCCAGGCATTACACAGCCTGTCCCTTCTGCTGTCTTGCAGAGATCCCCCCTGGATACCCATTCCAGTCCCTGCCTCCCTCCTTTGGAAGACACTATCCCTACCTCCTCCAGCCCACTACAGCATCTGACGCGGATGGCCTGGCTCCTGATGTCCCACTGCCTGCTGAAGGCTCTGAGCACATGGAGCTTTCCCCAGAGGTCAAGCCCATCCACTTGTCTCCGTCCAAAATGCTAGAGCCCATCCAAGCAGCAGCAGAAGAGGAGGCCTTGGAAGAGAGGGTGAAATCAGAGGTGCAGATGGAAGAAAGCCAAGAAGGCATCTGTGAGCAGGACATGGGGACTCTGAACATCACCACCTCTGCAGCTGTCCCAGTGCAGAACGTGGACAATTGCAATCTCCTGTTGCATCAAGGTGAAGCCCTGGGTGCTATGGAGCAGGACCAGGAAGACCTCCAGAGCTGCCCACCTCCTTACCAGGTTGTGACCTGCCCTGCAGAAGCAGAAGCTCAAGCAGAGACCGGGAGTGGAGCAGAAACCTGCTCTGTGCACATGGACTATGACAGTTCGCTCGTGCACACAGAGAACGAGCCGCCTGCAATGGACTTGACACCCCAGCGGGAGGAGGCCTCTGTAGCCATGGATCTGCAGAGCACCGATGTGCCCCGGGGGAGGGAGTTTCCCAGCCTGCCCCCTGAAGAAGGAGAGCAGGGACCAGAGATCCCTTCCTACACGGAAGAGGCAATCTCTTGCCAAATCCCAGCTCTGGACATCAAGCCGGGCGACCCACTGGCTGGGATGAACGCTTTGGTGGCTGCCACGGAAATGCCTCAGGCTTGTTCCTTGTTGACTACCGCCAGCGTCACTCCATCCCAGGTGAAGGTGGAGGTGTTACCTGACCAGGCCTTGGAGCACTCCTTCCTGCAAGGGATCACTTTGCTGAGTGAAATTGCAGAGATGGAGCTGGAGAAAAGGAAGCAAGAAATGCAAAGTAAGTTGTGAGCGTGCAGTCTGGCCAGCCTTGGGCCAGGTTGGGTCTTCCTGCATATGGCCCTGGCACTCTCTGTGCGGGCAGAGGAGCAGAGGCACAGGTGGGATGTCTTGCAAACTCAGCCAGGCAGCAAGGAGAGTGTTTCCCTGAGTTGCGGGAGCGGCTGGTACTTCAGATGGGGTCGGAGCAGAGTTTTTGTTGCAGTAGGCTGAGCTACGTGTGGCTTTTGTACTGCTCTTCCCTTCCAAAGGCCCTCGCCATGTCTAGACAGTTTGTGGTATGTGTAGCGGAAACGGAGCCCCACTTGCCGAGAGCTGCCAGGGTAACACCCTTCTGGCAGGCACTGAGTCTACAGTCTGTCGGGGTTTGGCACAAGAGGCCCCGGTAGCTCCAGATGGTGCTTTCCAAGAGCTTGGCAGGTCCTGAAAAGATCTCACCTTCCAGTAACTTCCTGAGGCGAGATGTGATGGGAACTGCCAGTTGCACCATGGCTGTGTACAACAGGAGATCTCCAGTGGGGGCCAAGGGTGGCTGGGAGGCTCCTTGAGCTACCATGGTCCAGAAAGGGACATGAGCCTCTCCTTGTGCCTGCTGGAGGAGCAGTCTTGGAAGGTGAACCTCTAGAGCTTTTTTCTTTCCTGTCCTCAGCAGGTCCAGAGAGTTTCCCTGTCCGGCCAACGCTGGAGAGTTTGCTGGCTGCCAGCACCCACATGCTCATGGAAGTACTTTCCACCCCCTTTATGGAAAGTCTGAAAACCATCCGGCTGCCTCGAGAGCTGAATCCCAACAAAAAGTACAGCTGGATGCAGAAGAAAGATGAACCTGTAAGTAGCTCTTAGTGTGGCTGAGCCTGAAAAGCCCCACGGTGCATCCACTCACCACAGCTTGCTCTTCCAGCTGCAGTTTGGCACCCGGCTTGTGCTGCCCTTCCGCACTGAGAAAAGCGAGCCGGCGCGTCCCTCACGTCGCGTTCGTAGCTCCGCAGGAGTCAATGTGGTGCGATTTAGCTTCCTCTCTTGTTTGTGAGGATTGATCTCAGCAGGACCCTCAGCAGCCCTAGAAGTGGTGTTTGTAATACAGAGCCAGCAGGAACTTGTGTGTTACTGCTTTGGCAAGGGGGGCATAAGTAAAGATAGTGGCAGGAGGGTTTTTCCTTGTTTTTTTCCTTTGCTGACTCTTCCCCATGGGAGAGACTGACAGATTATTTTGTATCCAGCAAGTAAGTGTTCCAAGATAGGGAATGTTTTGATCTGTCTTTTTAAATAAGGGAAGAGAGACTCCATGGGTGTATTTTATCCTGCAGATTTTTTCCCAGGGTTGCTCTCCTTCCAAGTTGATAACCAGCCCATGCATAAGCCGCAGAACATCTTTGCTTGCCCAGTTTTGCTCAAGTACTGCTCTAGGGCTGTGCTGCTTGTGGGTGAGGGAGCTCTGCTCCCTCGTAGGCACGGAGGGCTTCCCTGCCATGCTGCAGATCCTGGCCATTGCCAGGGCACCCCAGTGTGCACCCCCTTGTCTAGGTGGGAGCCTGGACATGTCCTTACCTTCTCGCCCCCTCTTGCCTCCCCACCCCAGATGTACTCCATCAAATCGGCCATCGAGAACATGGATGCAATGGAGCTGGACTACAGGATGAGGCTGGCGGAGCTGCAGCGCCGGTACAAGGAGAAGCAGCGGGAGCTGGTCAAGCTGCAGCGCCGCAGGGACTCCGAGTAAGTCACAGGCTGCTCACCCAGTCTTTTTTTTTTCCAGCTGGGCACTTTCACTGCCTCTCGGTCCAGGAGAGAAAACAGCCCTCCATCCCTCCCTGTCTCCTGTCCTCTCCTCCTGTTACGGCCCGCCAGAGCTTTGCACAGCACACTCCTAGGCTATGTGACATGACAACCTGATCACTGGTGAATGCAGCTGGGAGACCGTATTAGAGGCAACCTTGGCTTCAGCAGCTCAGTTTAGCAGTTTGGTGACAGGCAAAGGTTCTGGGTTGGCTCCCGTTCTTGCTTGCTTTCTTTTAATTTTTTTCCCTCTTTCTTCTTTTTGGATTGATTTGCCTTTTTTTCCCCCCCCATTTGTTTTGCTTTTTGGTTGCAAAATTTGATTTTGCTTTTTTTTTTCTTTGCCTTTTTTTTTGTTGCCTTGGTTAACAGTGAAGCGTGTGGTTTTTTTAAAGGGAAAAGCATGACGAGAAAAGTAGAAGCTTGGCGAGAAGAGGCCCTGGAAGGCCCAGGAAGAGGAAACTTGGATCAAGCGCTCTGTCACCCATTAAGGAGAGAGGGAAGAGTGACAGCAAGAGTGGAAAGTAAGGCTGGAATTTGGGGAAGATGGGAAAATGGCAGGGTCGCTGCACCAGGGGCGTACTTGGGGAGAGCATCTCGGATGCAGCGGGGGCTCGCTGTGGCGTTGTGTTGGCAGGCTGGTTTCTGGCAGCAGTTATGTTGTGGAAGCGTGTGCATTTAACGTGAGTGTGTCCTTGTGGTGGGAATACGGCGCCAGCCTTCTCTCTCCCCGCTGGTAGAGCACGTGTCTGTGGTGTTGGGTGCAAGTAGGGCAGGCTGAGTTGAGCAGCGGTGAGGTGATACGGAGCAGCTGTCTGGGCAGGGACTTGTAGGTGAGCTCTTGGTGTCGGGAAGTCTGTCCTCGTGTGTTTTCAGGAGAGCGGACGGTGCAAGCGGGTGCTCTAGTAATGCTGATGTCAAAAACTGGAAGGACAGGGCTATTGCAGGTTGTCTACTTTGTAAGGCCTTTCTGTTGTGTTTCTGCTGTCTTTATCTCCTGTTGCGTTAATCAGTGGGAGTTGGTTTTCGCCTGACTTCTCTCTTTCAGGTGTCTGGATAATTGTGTCTTCTGCTTTTTTGCCTCTTGCAAGTCAAGCTGTTCTTGTTTGGATGCCTGGATCTCACCACCATTGGCCATCTAATCATCCACAGATGGCCAAGTCTCTCCAATGGGAAGGCACCGCTGAGCTGCCTCCCTGTGTGCTACGTATTTTTGCAAATGTCCTTTGAAGACTACAAATCAGATTCAGGTGCCCAGCTCCCACTGACCATGTGCTTCTGAAAAACTGTCCTCTCGGTGGCTCTGTGTTTTGCTCCTCTTGTTTGGATGTCTGGACAGGCTGGAGGCATCCAGAGGTGGCTGGAGTTGTGCATGTGTGCGTGCATGAGCGTGTTGCGTGTGCATGTCCCTGCATTGGTGGAATGCTTGAGCAGCCTGGCGTGGGAGATGGAGGTGCACGCTCAGCCAGCGTCCAGGGCCTGAGGTGTTGGTTTAGCTGTCTGCAGAGGTCAACAGAGAGGATGGAGGGGAGGGGAAATGCCTGGAAGCTCAGGAGGCTGTGGTGGTGGCTTTGTGGTGGTGGCGGTGGTATGACCTCAACCAGCAGGCTTAGCATGAAGGAGGTGGCATATGAGAGGTTTTAATGGAGGCTTCTAGAGGTCTTGAGGTGTTGACTGATCTCTCCACCCATCAGTTAGTTTCTGGAGACAGTTGGGGAGCAGTGAAAGATGTGCTTATAGTGTCACCTATCTCTTTTTTTTTTTTTTTTTTAATTATTATTTATTTACCCTCTCCTTCCCGCGAAATCCCAAAGTGAGACCGAAGATGCAGATGCCTCTTGCAGAGGGGCCAGGCGTATAAAGCACATTGCCTGTCCTTTGAGCAAGCCAGTCCCTGTAGTGCCCTTGCGCCTCTGTGACACCCTGTGTGGTGGTTCCTCACCCACCTCCTTGCTCATACCCGAGCAACCAGAGCAAGGGCAGTGAGGCACCTCCTTGGGCCTCAGGAATCTCTCTCTGCACCAACAGAGTCCATGAAAGTAGAGGTGGGAAAAGACCTACAAGGCCAGCTCAGCTGTCTATCCTTCCCTCTGCTGCTCTGTACCAAATTAGGCACTTTTCAGTGTCTTTTACTCAAGATACCAGTTGCTTCCTTTCAGAGACCACTTTGCAGGTCTCTGATTTCAGGCACCTTCCTCTCTGCTGGTGTCCAAGAATGTGCAAGGAGGGTTCCTTGGCTCTCCTGTTTGGTGGAAAACCCTATCCAGACTGCTGTCACTTCACAGTGGACTTGGCTCTCGTTGAGGATGTGCCCTAGGAGGCTTTTAACCTCACTTTTGATCTTGGTGGGGATCACAGGGAGGAAAGTCCCCCACCTTGACCCATCCTGTGCTTGGCTTGCAGACTGAGCAAGTCCTTGTTGCTCTCCGAAGACTCTGAGACTGGAGAGGGCATGAAGAAGAGGCACAAAGGGGCCCTCCCGGAGGAGGACGAGGATGTGGAGAGCGGCAGTGGCAAGATGAAAGGGAGAAACCAGAGCTGGGAAGAGCACGATGTGGCTCCCAGCTTCTCAAATGAGGTCAGTGCCCTCATGGGGAACATGGAGCCATGGGCCAAAAGCAGATCTCTTTCCTGCTTTGCTACTGTTGGCTTGCACTCGATAACTCCTCCTGAGCTTAGAACGTCTGCTCTCAGTTCATGTGGGTTTAGAAGCTCTTCATGAGAGGACTCTTTGTGCAGTGGAGGGGTGTTCGCAAAGGCTAACGTTGGCTTTTGGAGGTCAGACCTCTTTGGTAGGTAGCAGGGAGGCAAGCACCTTCGAGACAGCCAGTGCATTGCAGGGTTGCACTAGCTCTGAATCCAGAGCGTGTCGAGATAGTGGAGGGGAACTGACTTCCCAAAGTCAGGGAGGAAAGGGAGCGCAGCCTTGCTGTTTTAAATGCAGGGTTTTCTTCTGCTCCTGTTGAAGCAATGAGATATTTACTGGAGCTTTAGGTTGCTGCCGAAATCCAAAGTGCATAGAGGCAAAGTACTGATTTAGAGCTGCTGTTATCTAACTGTAGCACATGTAAAGTGTATTTACTTTTTTCAAGAAGCAAGAAAATACTGAAAAGGGTGTAACAGCCCTGGCTGTATGCAGTGGTGCTGACACTCTGGCTGAGAGGTATTTGGGTCTTTCTGGCATCCCAGCCTCTGGAGCTCGTTGATTATGTGAAAATCCGTATTTAGTTGGCTGGGGTTTTGGATAAAGAAGATTTTTAATCCTCATGATTTAGAGAAAAGCTTGTAAAACTAACCCAAACAAACCCTGAAAACCAGAAGGTGTTGAGAAAAAAGCACTCCAAAACATGTTGTTATATGAACATATTTCTTTTGGAAGAAAATTCAATTTTTCTAAGTTAATCTTGGGATTTTGTAGTGCTAGATAAGGGTAAAGCTGTGCTGTTTGCTGACATCCCGCTTCTTCCTTCCTAGCACCATAGTGGGTTATGACAACTGGGGCTTAAGACCATCATTTTGAGGCCTTATTAACTTGTGTGCATGAGAGACTGTTTTGAGGGCTAGTAAAATCCCTCAGGTCTGCCATATCTGCTCTGCATTTCACCAGTGTCTTGTCTTTCACCTCGGCAGTTAAAGCTCAAGAAGAAGAAGGTACCATCAGATCAGGAGCAGCTGGCCAGCAAGCTTGACAAAGCCCTGTCGCTCACCAAACAAGACAAGCTCAAATCCCCCTTCAAGTTTGCTGACAGCTCTGGGGGAAAGCTGAAAACTAGTGGAGGTGGCAGCAGGTACCTCCCACCCCACGAGGCTCTGCCGAGCAAAGAGGAAAAGAAGAGCCTGGCCAAGAACCTGGGCCTGTCACTGAAAACCACCAAGGAAGGTAAAAACAAAGTGGCTGCCAAAATGAAGAAGATGGAGGTGGGGTTAAAAGTCAAAAACCAGCTCAAGATTTCCCATTCACCAGCAATATCTGAAGTTAGCAGCTACTCCTATAGTAAGTAACCCCTCATTTATCTCTTTTTACAGTGTAATCTGTTGTGGGGGCTTGTGGTAGGGGTTTCTGGCCTCTTGGAAGGGGTCTTGGAGATGGGTCTGGTTTTGCTCAGGAGTGAAAAGTGACCTCCTCCCTGGCTAATCAATGCTGCTGTGTCTTTGGGGTAAGCATGAGTTGTCTGCCCAGCTTGCCATCCAAGAGGTAGCCAACATCAGTGCGTCTCTTCCTGGCCTATGTTGTACTGATGGTCAATGGGGAAAAATCCTTTAAAAAAGAAGTTGACCCACGTTCTTGCTTTCAGTGGGAGTAGACGCTCTCCTTCTACCTGTCAGATGAGTACTCATAACCTCTGCTCCAGTAGGTGGTTAATGGTTGACTTTTGAAGTCCTTGTTGGGTTGGGTGGGATTGGCTTTAGGATTATGCCCTGGAGTCAGTTGGGGAAGGCAAAGCTTGCCAGAGGGCACTGATGTTCCTGAGCATCTTCCTGACCTTCAGTGTCGTGGCTTGGCTCCTGTGCTCAGCCTTCCCGTCAGTCTCATCAACATTCGTTCATCTCCACCTTGGCATCTGGAGTACTGATTGCCGTTGCTGAACCCAAAGTGCACCCGAGGCAAAGGATCCTGCAGCCGAGCAGAGGCCGGGACCCTTGTCACAGCAGGAAAAATCTGAATTGCAGATAGTGTCGCGAAGACAGTAGAACCGGAGGTAGAAGAGTCTTTAATGGTTTGGGCAGACAATGTGGCAGAGAGCATTTGAGGGACTTGGAGTTTATGGTCTGAGGACTGGTTGTGTAATTGTCTTAGCTCACTTGCATACACATCTTTTCCTTTGCTTGCAGCTATTTAAGTCCCATGTTAAAACCCTTATGGGGTGCTTGTATGCATAACAAATGTGTATCTCGGTGCAACACAGGTTTAGAAATTTCGCTAATAGGGAAGAAGATGAGCTAGTGATTCTCCAACTGAACAAATGTTTGGCATGAAATTAGCCATTACTCGGCAAAATAGGAGCTGTTGTGTGCACTGGACTTGAACACAGCCTTTGGCTGGTCGTGCTGTACACACCACCCAACAGTTCTGCTCTTGAATGTGCTTTACTCCCAGGGATGGATGCATGTTTCCTAAACTGGGAGCTCTGGAGCTAATGGGGAGAGGAAGCATGGGCTGTTGCGGGAGCTAAAAGCCTTGGCTTATGGCAGAGGGAGATTTTGCAGTGCCCTTGCACTTGGTACTGTGGTTTCATGAACAAAACCTGCCTCCCAGAGCTAGGGGAGCTTTTCTCTGACCCCTCTCCTCTCCAACGAGTCTCCTGTTGTCGGAATGTGCCCCTGCGCCACACGAATCTCAGTGCAGGAGGATTGTTGTCACTGAGGAACCAACTCTGAAATGGCTCAGCTTTGGTGCGTGGTTTTTCAGCTGCATGCAGGTTCAAGGAAAAGGCTTTAGGCTGTGATTTGGTCACTCAAGCGTGATGGATTTGTGGAAGCAGGTCGAGCATATGGCAGCACCTCCCATGACTGGTGGGCTGCTCTTGTGGAGGAGGAGAAGCAGGACTGGCGCCAAGTGCTTCTGCCTCCTAACCTCATGATTTTCTAGCTGGAGTCCTGAAAACCTTGGGCGTAGATCCAAAGGGCGAGCAGAGCATCCTGTTCCCACCGATTTTAACCGGTCTGATGCCCAAAATGATTTGCGTATTTGGGCTTTGGGCCTTCCATTTATGGCCAACCCCCGTTCATTCCTCTCCACAAGCAGCGCAGTGGAGGTAGGAAGCAATGCCCAACCCAGGCTGACTCTGGAGAGCATCTGCTGCTGCTCACAGGCTGGAATGGTCCCTGCCGCAATGTCCCTAACATTGTGGAGCTCGTGGTGCGTTCATGAGCCAGGAGGTGACAATTCGTACCCGCTTTTATTGTGTCCAGGGGTACCATATACTTCTTGTTCCACTCATCAGATGCCAGAGGGGACCACTGGATAACTTCTCACCACCGTGGGGCTTGGCAGCTTTGTAAAGCCACATGTCGCAGACTGAGGAGCAGCTTGGTCCCTGCTCCGTTTCGCTGTACTTTATATTGCACGCTGCAGAGTGTCTGGGGTGGTGTGTTCGGAGTCCGGCTGCCCGTGTGGAAAACCGTCTGGGAGAGCAGGTTTATGTAGAAAAGGAGATTTAGGACAGAGCGTTGAACACAGCCATGGTTAAGACTAATGCAGGTCGATGACCCGATTGTTGGCATTGCTGCGCCTTTGGTGGGTATCGTCATGGCGGAAATGTCTACCTCAGTTTTCTGCTCCTCAGCTAAAAACACGCCTTGGATCTTGTCTTGAGGGAGGTCAGGAGTCATTTGGCCTAGGTGGAGAGTGTCTTATGTCTGACCGAAAGAAGGAAATAGGTATTTCTGTGTTTATTCAGCTCCCACTTGCTGAGCCTGTGACTTGTGATGGAGGGATCTGGCAGGGGTGGAAAATGGTGGCACACGGCCCCTCCTGCAGCTGCTTTCCCCTCCTGGTTTACGGCCTCTTCACAAAGAAATGCACCAAAGCACCCCCCAAAAAAACCCCAAACCCCCATTCTCTGATGTAA